ACCTCCACGTCTACACCTGCCCCCCCCTTGGCTGTGGGACGGATCTGACGCTTCCTTTAAGTTCATTCAAAACTGTGGTTGGTTGATGTCTAAGGAGAAATAATACGTTTAAACTCTAAATCTTATGAACAACATTGGGAGAAAAATTTTTCAAATTAATTACACTTTTATGCTAAATACGATAAAAAATACAAATCCAAACAATAATGAAGAAATAACCAGAAGTGCTTTAAGTGTAACTCTAACCGCCTTAAATCAGCAGTTTTACTATGGAGGTTTTGTATTGGAAGCAAACGTTTGCTGTTTAAATACGACAGAGATCAGAGCTCGTTCCCCGCCGGCTGCAGACGATCTGTTCTTTGTTTGGAGTTGTTGTAGCACGCCGGCGTGCAGGCGAGGAAGAGGAAGTGACCGCGTTTGACATTTATATGTTTGAAATTTGAGATTTGGATTTACTATATATATATTTTATATAATTACATTAACCATATGAATTCACTTTTAATCTGGGTTACACAAACAGAAACAGAATCTGCAGTACGCCATAAATACCTGATGTTGTACAGGTGAGGGTCACCTGAGGGGTCCTGGGGACTCTAGTGGACCCTGCAGGAGGTCTTTGTGGTTCTGCAGCCAAAGAAGAGATTTAAAAACAATCAACAGAATTATATCAGTTACATATCAGATATTTCTGTTTCTATCACAATAAGTTCACATTCAGTCGGTCTCTGTTGGTATTTACCGCTCTGTGATAATCAATAAGCAGCCGCCGCCGTGGTGTCGGCGTACAGCAGTAATCATGTCGTGGAAGTGGTTTACATCCACAGTGTGATGATCATTATTACTTTCTATTATTGGAGGCAGCAGCAGCTTCAATATCTCAGCTCTAATAATAGACACATTAACAAACTCTCATCCTATTAAGACTCTTATTACCACCGCACTAATTATTTCCCTCCCTGCTCCGACACTCGTCTTACAGGATCTCCTTCTGACAGATCGTCTCTCACCTCCTCCTCCTCCTCCTCCTCAGTGAGAAGAAGAACTTCAGTATTTCTCTTTGTTTCACAGTCTGACATGTTTCTGTTAATAATAAGAACTGTTTATTTACAGGCTGCTGCCCTTTTATTCTTCTGCTAATTGAATCGCTTTGTTTTGTTTTTATTCATTTACATATTTGTCAGTTATTGAGAAACTGCAGCAGCAATAATAATTCATCATCTTCACTCATCACATTAATGAGCTTTTATTCAAGTAAAAGTACCAAAACCACCATGTAAAGTACTCCATTACTCTTAAAATATAACTTAAGTTAAAGCACAGATGTATTATAATTATAACGTATTAACAGTATCAAAACTAAAAGTTCTAATTATTATTAATTAATAATATTAATGAATCAACACACAATAGCAGTCAGGTTACTTTTAACTGTTTTAGACAGTGAAGTTAGTATATTGTTAGCAACAACATTAGCAATCAAGCTAACGTTATCCAGCTAACAGCACAATCAGACAATATGTTCCACTAGCTTAGCATTAATGTTAGCTTTGACTTTGGACTCTGTGTTGGACTCTGTGTTGGACTCTGTGTTGTGGACTCTGTGTTGGACTCTGTGTTGGACTCTGTGTTGTGGACTCTGTGTTGGACTCTGTGTTGTGGACTCTGTGTTGGACTCTGTGTTGTGGACTCTGTGTTGGACTCTGTGTTGTGGACTCTGTGTTGGACTCTGTGTTGGACTCTGTGTTGTGGACTCTGTGCTGTGGACTCTGTGTTGGACTCTGTGTTGGACTCTGTGTGACCTGTGTTGGACTCTGTTTGACACTGTGTTGTGGACTCTGTGTTGGACTCTGTGTTGGACTCTGTGTTGTGGACTCTGTGTTGTGGACTCTGTGTTGGACTCTGTGTTGGACTCTGTGTTGGACTCTGTGTTGTGGACTCTGTGTTGAGGTTGGACTCTGTGTTGACTCTGTGTTGTGGACTCTGTGTTGGACTCTGTGTTGTGGACTCTGTGTTGGACTCTGTGTTGGACTCTGTGTTAGACTCTGTGTTGGACTCTGTGTTGTGGGACTCTGTGTTGGACTCTGTGTTGTGGACTCTGTGTTGGACTCTGTGTTGGACTCTGTGTTGGACTCTGTGTTGTGGACTCTGTGTTGGACTCTGTGTTGTGGACTCTGTGTTGACCTGTGTTGGACTCTGTGTTGTGGACTCTGTGTTGTGGACTCTGTGTTGGACTCTGTGTCTGTGGACTCTGTGTTGGACTCTGTGTTGCTGGACTCTGTGTTGGACTCTGTGTTGTAGACTCTGTGGACTCTGTGTTGGACTCTGTGGTGGACTCTGTGTTGGACTCTGTGTTGGACTCTGTGTTGTGGACTCTGTGTTGGACTCTGTGTTGGACTCTGTGTTGTGGACTCTGTGTTGGACTCTGTGTTGTGGACTCTGTGTTGGACTCTGTGTTGTGGACTCTGTGTTGGACTCTGTGTTGGACTCTGTGTTGGACTCTGTGTTGTGGACTCTGTGTTGGACTCTGTGTGTTGGACTCTGTGTTGTGGACTCTGTGTGGACTCTGTGTTGCCCACTGTTGACACTCGGGAGCATAAAGGTCACAACCTTTGACCCTCATCCTACATAGAGACACATAGAGATCAGTCCACAGACAGCAGAGGGACAAAGCTCCACTACAACCTGTTCACTCTCTGCTCACACACACTGATTCACTATCTGACATATGGAAGCTTCAAATATACAAATGAGGAATTATTGAACTAAAAAGCTCCAGGAAATCTGAACATTGACTTTATTACTGTATCTTCGGATAGTTCGACTCACTAAAAGCTCCTGATAAAGCCAGTAAGTGGACTTTGAGTTGGGATTTTTATCCTTCTACAGCTAAAGGTTGAATTAATGTAAATTATCTTCACTGAATATTAAAACCGCTGCAGTCTGATGGATGTTACACCGTCAGAAGATCTCTGCTCAG